CTTGTTGATAACCCATCTGAGACATTCATGTGACATTTGTTAAAGATTGGGAGAAGGAGAATAGTTTTTTATGCCATGCCAAAATGAAAGAAAGCCTTGGAAACACCAATCAGAAAATATTTACTAAAAGGTTTTGAGTATATTGAAGCTTTGGAAGGGGTGATTATGTAGGTAGGCGATGCATCTGGGCTTGGTTATTGCTAGAAAGTGAAGTGGGTGCTCATCTTTCTGCAACCAGAGTAATCCATGATGAGATCAGCTGGAGTCTCACTCAGGGACTCTGTGACTGACAAACGTGATACACAAAGTCAGAACTTGGATTGCATAAAAAAAAAAAAGGCATTGCCTCTCATACTTTGGTGTATACTGATTGGATGTGGTTTTGCCTTCTGCAATGATCATATCTGAAGAGACTGAGTCAAGCAATATAATGTTGGATTTATGAGCTGTAATTTCAAGTGGTAGAGATCCAGAAATCACTGGGAGATCCGGTAAAAAATGACCAAGACATCCTTTGGAAAGGGAAGTGGTTTCATATTTTTTCCTCTTTTGTCCTCAAGAACAAAACCAAAAACTTAACACATAATTTTTAGTATAGTTATGTTTGTCAGTCTCTGCCTTCTCTGTGTTGGATACTCCTTAAACCTTTGCTTTTCTTATGCTTATTTTTATACCTAATAACTTTGCAACTGTTTCATGAAACCTAGTTAAGGATTTGTTTGAACCAGCCACAGACTAAACAGCTCTGTATGACAAGTAACACATTTAACAATAAACTCTTTGCAATAATACTTCTCAAGCAAAATGCAAGAGCTTGTTCTATAGCTTCAAGAATACCAGTCATAATCAGTGACACAGTTGATCTTAATGACAAGCATCTATTTACTTGGATTTAAGCAGTAAAAATGGCTAACTGTAAAAGAAATTTGAGATTAATGTTACTGAGTAAAAGAACAGAGTTATATGAATACTTTTTCAGTTGCCAAGTTGGTACTGGGGGAAAAAGTAGTTCCTGTATTTTTATAGCCCTTTTAGTGCTATGGTTATTTAACTAGTGTTTCTTAGTTTACCTTTTAACAGTTGTGATCACAGAAATGCTTTTATCCCCTTGAAGGTGCAGAGGACAGGAGTGTGGTCTTAATTAAGAAAAGGGTTTATTTATTTATTTATTCATTTTTAGAAATGTTACTTCTTTGTTATAGGAGCTTAGTGAGCCTTCAGGAGGTGTTTGGTTGATATTAGTAAAAAATTCAGAACTCATCTGTATAGAGGCTGAAATAAATCCTCATTCCCTTTCCCTAAATGAAAACCAATAAATCAAGGCTATCGAAGGCCTTGACAGTATTGTTCAGAATCTCAAGGGCACTTATTTAAAATTACTTTCTCACTATAAATAGTCCAGCTGTTTGATGAAATCCTTGAAATTAATTTGCTGGCGCTCCTTTTTTAATGAAACATTCTGTTTTTCATCCACTGCTGTCACAAGGGAGCTGCTATTTGTTTACTATTGTTATTTGTGCCATTGTCACTGGTGTCATCTTTTTTTGTCTTCCACAGCAGTTCTGTCAGAGTTTACCAAGCCAGATGTGGAATGCTTGGAGTTGTTTGCTCGAAACCTACAGCCTGGCTGGACCAGCTGGGGAAATGAGGTCTTGAAGTTTCAACACATCGATTATTTCACTCTTCTTCAGAATGGAAACTGAACTGGGTCTTATGTATATCTATTATGTTCTGAAATTCCACATCTTCCCTAGAGGCTCTTGAACTTGCCTTTATTAGTGATAGTGCACTTAAAGGTAACAGAAACAAAACCAATTGCATTTCAGTTAAAATTCTTGAAGTGATAGGAGATCTGTTGAATGATATCTCCATTTGTACAAGGTGGTCCTTTATTTTGATGATCTGGATATATTTAAATACTGATGTTGTGCTGGTTTGAAAACAAACTAGTGAGAGACTCCAAGTCAGACCTTTATTAGTGATAGTGCACTTAAAGGTAACAGAAACAAAACCAATTGCATTTCAGTTAAAATTCTTGAAGTGATAGGAGATCTGTTGAATGATATCTCCATTTGTACAAGGTGGTCCTTTATTTTGATGATCTGGATATATTTAAATACTGATGTTGTGCTGGTTTGAAAACAAACTAGTGAGAGACTCCAAGTCAGAAATACAATACAATCTCTCCCGAAGGTCCAGCGGCAGCGCTTGTTCTCTGAGAATCCAGCAGGCAAAGGGTATCTGTGCTGGTCAAAACCCCAGTTTATATCCCTGTGGGGATGCTTGGCTCCCCACCCCCATGTAGGAATGCTTGGCTCTCCCCCCTGGGGTGAGGCATCTCACAATGGGCTGCTGTAACTCTATGCATGCCTGAGTCCCAGACAGCCCATTAAACAGAGCCAACCCCTGGGGGAGCCATCAGGGACCAGGGGATAACAATCACTGCCCCCACCTGCCCCAACAGCTTGTGAAGATACAATAGAATACATACCATTGGCTACCCCATACTGCAGCCCAGGACAAGTGCCTTCATCCCTGGGGTTGTGGGTTTTTTCAAACCTCAAGAAAAGACAGATATTTTAAAGTATTCTCACTGCAGCTATCAAATCTGAGCTAATAACACAAGTGCTACACTGCAGCACTTAGTTTAAAAGAATAATGTATTATTTTTAAAACTGTCAATGGAAGTAAACAGTTCTGAATTATGCATCTTTTCTTAAAGAAGATTGTTCTTTGCGAAACTAAAATAGTTACGAAGGCAGTGTATCCTCCTACATGTTTGTATCTGTCTGTCTACCTCAGAGGAAATAAAAGGAGCTGAGTTGTGTTCATTTCAACAGGAATTGTTGACTGCCCACATTCTGTGCAAAATTATGCTTTTAAAACAGTTGGCAATTCTATCTTTCTGTATATGGTGTGAAATCTTTGAGTACATTGTAAATGATCAGTCTCAATATCTTACAAATTCTGAAATTTTAACCGATTATAAGTATTTTTAAAATTTTCTTTCCTTATGTTCTCGGAACATTAAATAGCCCTGCCAGTGAGCTGTGTTTTTCAGCGAACATAAAAATGATCTTTTTTTTTTAAAAAAATAATTAAATTTTAAAAGAATGGTAAACTTTGTCTATCCTTTGCTGTCTTTAGATTTGCTTTGAAAAATAAAAAGGAAAACTTAATGAAGCCTTTGCCACTTACTCGTTTGCAGCAATAGAGGCAGAGGTGCTGGACAAGCTGATTTTCCTGGTGACGAATTCCCATGTTCTGACTGTTTATAATGGGGAACAAAATGCATTGCATACCTTCTTTACATTCTTTTCCCTTTTGGTAGTCTGATGTGCTGTGAAGTTTTTTTTAAGTTAAAGTTCAAATGTTAGCAGATTATTTTTTATAATTTTGTAATAAAAATGAAAATGAGAACTTGTCAATGTCTTATTTGCAGACCCGGTTTCTATATTACTGCTCAATTTCATGTTTTGCCTATTGGGGCACTGGAATTACCAAAACAAGGAAAATGCTTTATTCTCCCTCTCCCAAGAGTTAAACATATACTCAAAATAAGTAAATAATGTAACAGCAAAAGTAGTTACCAGGGAAAACACTTCTTGCTACATGATTTTACTTAGCCTGCATTTTAAACTGTCAGTACTTAAGCAACCTTAGCAACAGTTGCAAGGGCTAGAAGGTTATTTAGCCTCAGTTTTACATGACATTGAGCTTCTCCATTCCTAGTCAGAGTTCTCCTCCCTCCCAGGATAGTCTCATCTAGTACTAAATGAGCGTATGAGGCTGCATGGAATAGACCATAACTGCTGCATGTATCTTGTTTTCCCTTTGTACTCTATAACACAACACAAGAAATGACAATATTATCTGTTCCGTATTTGCTGCTATGAAATGTCTCTAGATTATCTTTTAATTGCAAGTAAAGGAAAGAGATGAACAATCTTAGAGATCAGGAAACCACCTCTCTCCTTCTTAGACCTAAGCAGCAGAACCCTTCTAAGGGCATTAATGACCTTCTTCAAGCTGTTTAAGAATTGATGACCTCATTAATCCATCTTTTCTGTGGAGTCCCTTTGCAAGTTGTGGCTTTCTAGAATCCTAGAATCATTAAGGTAGGAAAAGATCTCTAAGATCACTGAGTTCACCACTAAACCAGAAGCTGAGCAGCTGATTCCAGCACTGGGAATCCAGCCTCTTAAGTATGGCTTGTTGTATGTAGAGGACTTGTGCAGACAGAATAGAAATGAGAATTGAAAATTGGAGTTTAAGTCATACCTGATCCTGTCATATATAGTTACAAATTTGTGCCTCAGACAACTGTTTGCTCTTCTGCTTTTCCAGTGCTCTGTCTATGAAGAAAATCTTGTCAATATGACAGAGGTGGTGCTCTACATCTGCAGCCAACCTGAAACAACTGCATTTTCTCAGGAGGAGAAAGTCTGTTACTAACTCAGAAATCTCATGGTGGTATTACAGTTGATAGTTTCAGGGTCATCTTTTACACATAATTATTGGGCTGTTACACTTAATTCATAATTTAAATAGCCTCTTACACTTTTCTAGCTGTCCAAAGCCCAAGTTGTTCCTAATCAACCATCAGATCTTTCAGGGTCAAATGATTCCTCTGCAGCAGAATCTGCAGCATACTTAAAAATCAGTGATGAGTGAAGACAGCTAATATAACAGGACAATTTAAAATAGTTTCCTTTTATAAAATAATATCTATGTCAATTGCTCTATATTACCTTTGTGGTGAAAAGATGCCCTCTGTGTCAAGCCTTGTATAGAAAGGAAAACTTGCTCTGAAGAGTGTGTAAACTTGGTAAGAAATGAAAGAACAAGGGAGAAGATAAGGATGAAGGAATACAGGATAGTAATGAGAAGTTAGGGTGTATGTGGTAAGTAGCAGCCTAGATATTATGTACATCTTCAGTGTTTCTAAGAAATAGGGTTTTTTCTCATAATTTTAAAAGAGATTTTCTGCTTTTCAATTCTAGTATCACGCATTCCAAGGAAAAATAGGTGAAGTGTGTGTGTTTTACTTACAGCATTGACAAAATAGAAGTTTTTTTCAGGTCTAAATTCTATATGTGGCAGCTTGGTGAAGTAACAACTGTGGTTGCTCAAGAGTTTTCAGAAAGTACACTATTTGATACATCTGTTATTATTTTAGCAGGACAATGATAAAAGTTTCTTTGCCTAGGTGTTCTCCAGTACTTAGAGCCTTTTAAAATGATGTCTTATTGCAAAAAAATCTCAGTTCATAAATTAAAAAGAAGCAATTTTAAGCTGCTCCTATATGTAGATTACATCAAGTGTCATAATCAAACTTACTTTTATGAAGCTTCAGGTTTGAGTATGATTTTGAAATGTCAAATTAGCATATGACCTTTACTTGTATTTTTAAACTTCTGTGAAGTAAAAAGAATTATACTAGTGAGATATGTTTTTGGAATAGTGATTACTAGGCATGAACTCCTGTGGAAACAGCAAAATTTCTTTTGCAAGATTAAATATTAAAAGAGTTGAGTAAGTAAGTAGCTCTTGCCTCTTTATAGGATTCAGCTTGGATAGGTGTCAGCAGCAGTAGAGTTGACTTTGAAAATAGATTTCCAAACTACATAAACAACTATAAAATTACCAGAGGTAAGTGCTACTATACTTTGAGAACTGTGTTTTGTTAGCCTCAACATAAGACTTACCTACTGCTTGTTTTGGGTTGGTCATAACAGGAAGGGAATGGAAAGTGTCTAGAAAATAGCCAAGTCATCAGGTATGTTCAGGTTGCAGAAGAAAGTCTCATGGTGTACCAGCTGGCAGGTATTTTCATAGACTCATAGAATAGTTTGGTTTGGAAGGGACCTTTACAGGTCATCTAGTCCAACCTCCCACAGTAAGCAGGGACATCTACATCTAGGTCAGGTTGCTCAGTACCCCATCCAACCTGATCTTGAACGTTTCCAGGAATGGGACATATACCACCTCTCTGGGCAACCTGTTCCTGTGTTTCACCACCCTCATTGTAAAAAAATTGTTCCTTATATGTAGGCCTAATCACGTCTGACATTGGCACTGATAAGTGAACAGCAGAGCAGCTGCCAAGGTGGGTTCCCATGACCCTAGCCAGATCTCAAAAGCACAGGAAGCATGCCGAGGGTTGGGGCAGGTGATTGGTTTCACTGGTCCTTTGGCAGCTTCAATGTGCCTTGCCATCACTAAAATGCCATCAAAGCTGCCCTAACCAGTCTGGGTCATCTTGCTGGGCCTACCTAGGAGGACTTTCATTGCTGCCATAAAGAAAGTGAGGTTATCACCTTGTTAGGGTTGTTCTTTGAGTAGATTGAAAAATTTCTACAAAAAGTTGCTTTTCACTTGTAAACATTTTTTATTAAACATGGTGAACTCTCTTGGTGTGGTGCAGAGCCTGGCTGAAAAGCCTTGCATCTGAGACTGCCATGTGGTCTGTCCTGAGATTAAAGAGTTATGGGCGTTTCTCTGTGGAGCTGAGATCCAAAATGTTCATGGTCTCCAGACATGCAGGCTCTCTTGGAAGCACTCTAACTGCCAAGCTGCAGGCAGAGCTCTGAAGTGGTCCTCCCTTCTGGTTTTTGGGCTTTTTAGCTCCCTACCAGAGCAGGAGATGAATGGCTGGGACACACTGTTGACACTGGGATCTTGACACTGGAATCATGGTGTT